CACCGCAAGTCATTGTATAGGCCACATCGCATTCAATAAGCCACTACGATTCTGAATGGAAGTAGAATGCGTGCCGCATCCCACAAAGGGATTGATCAACGGCGAAGACTTTATCCTTTATCCTTTTATAACGAAAATGGAATGGATGGGATGTGTCATGTTCGAGGATGTTGATAAGTCCTGGCCCTCTTTTCCTTATCAAAGTCTTTATGTTTTACAACAGTTAGCAGTGAAGTAATCGGGCGTATGTTATTTTCGACCTGTTTCCTCCTCTCGAACAGCTTGTTTATGATAAATCCGCAAAAACTGTCCAATTGGGATTTGGAGAAGTTGCCGAACTAGTGATTTTTGAAGATAGCGAAAAAGATGATGATTTGTTGGTGCAAAGTCTGCAGAGTACGATGGATGTCCTTCACGTTCCTCTCAGTCGGGTTTTGAGCCCATTCCTCGAGCCTTTACGGCTGAATAGCCTCTTTGCTCGATAGAGCTGTGCGGTACAAAGATTGTGTCGACAGTCTCGCTGCTTCAACATTTTTCGCTACACTAGAACATCACATTCCCACCAGAAGGTTGCTTTCAGTAAGACATACCATAAAGGCGAACTGTCATAATGGAAGTTAGCAGCCTGGTTAACCGCAACCTTCGCCACTGTAGCATACTCTCCAAACGAGTCACAAACGTCCCTACTCAAATCCCAACACATTCGATAGCTTTTCAGATCTTTTTCTACATGCAAGGTTTCGAAAGTGTTGTTTATGCACTTTTTTCTTCGAAAGCCAGAATTTCGGGCAAACTTTGGCTGTAGTCAAAATATCAACACTTTTTGTAGAGAAATTATGATCCCTTCGAGATAGTGCACTACGATTGTTCTGGACTCACAATTTATGTGTGAATGACCCAGCTATGAACAAAACAGCAGGAACTTATTCCTTAACCTCATAATAAATTTTGGGGCATGTGACACCTGTGAGGTCTCATGACTCTTGTGAGCTGATTTTTCCCCGAATTTTGATTTCGACCAGAGTTTCCGTTGTTGTATAACTCCATATATGCACTAATTCGTGTGAGACTGGACTGTGACAAGTTCATTAATGATATCTGATGTTTCACAACTGAGGAATGACCGCGCAGCTCCAGACTTTATCCTCACCTCTTCACTCTGTTTCGTCCTCCTTATCCCTGTATACCGTCTAAAATAGCCATCCTTGTTTTGGTGCTGTTCAGTAGCACCAGCTTTAAACTTACGCCGACATCGTCCGTGATCTCTGCACTGACCACAACGATGAGGAATCACACTAGGTGGCTAAGAAGCACATTGGGTGGTCTTCTGATCGAGCGGAGTGCCAGACCACAAAGCCAGGCAAAAAACTCGGTTCTCGAGGTGTTGAGGAGTTTTGCTAATATATGCTTGTGGTCATCGCTGGTTCTAAACCTAAACTCCTAAGACAGCCGCAGGTTGCTCTACAAGGATTACTAAGGAGCTCTCCAAGGATTACTAAGGAATTCAGCATGTTTCGTAGGTGGTAATGGAACGATGTACACAAATCAGAATACGGTCAAATAAAGTGAACGGATCGAGCTCAGTAAAGCCTTTATGCCTTTCTTACTCAACGGTTACGTAAAGTTTCCCTTTTCAGGAAAACCTCAAAGCAAGGATATCGGGTCCACCAGAGTTCGATCTGGTCAGCTGTCAGTTCGCACTTCACTACTCCTTCATCGACGAGGAGTCAGCACGTACCTTCTTACGGAACGCTACAGAAACTTTACGGCCAGGCGGTTTATTAATAGGAACATTACCAGATGCGGAAAGGATTGTGTAGGTTTCTCCATAAGCTGCTTCATGAAATTTACTCTTAGAAAAGGTAACGTAGAAAATATCACGGAGCTTTGAAAAGGGAAATCGTGAAAATTCAGGATTTACAAGATCTCTTGTAAAAAATGGGACTGTCTTCAATGCATACTTCTCTGAATGATTAATATATTTTATTTATTTATTTGTTATTCACGGATTTATTTGTCAACATGTCTACCATCCATGGTTTTACCTTTTTTTGAAAATTAACTTCCTTTACCAATTTATTGTTTCTATAGAGTAGTTCCGTATTGCTCCTTTAGACTGACCAGATAAGGTCAGGCATCTTCGCAAGTTCGGTTCATTTCCGAAGGGTGATGTGATCGGGAGCCGTGCTGTATAATTCACTAAACGGTTGATTGAGCTATTCCAGCAAAGGTAGAATTGCTTGTCGCACTTGTGAGAATTCATTGCCGTTTTGCTGAAAAATAGGAGGCTTTTATTTGCGTCTGGTTTTTCCTCTACTTTGCCTAGCAAGGATATCGAACCTGTTCAAGCAATGATCTTTTTGTTGACTGAGGCTCACAAGTCGTTGTATAGTTGTTTTCGGCAGACCCTGGGACACTTCCGGCGAGGGACCTCGGTTTAGCGCAGCGCCGCTTTTCCACCAATGTTGTCGCTTGACCGCTTTAGCAGATAGATAACGGTTTGGCGCTGCGCCCAACTCAGCCCCCTGCTCCACCTTCCCCCGCATGCAGCGAGATGACTGTGTACACTGTATACAAGAGAACAAAAAAAAAACTTGTTGCGGTGCACTACATTAGAGGTTAGGGCACTATTTACCGTTTACTCCCCCTATCTTTCGAGAAAAGGCCAGTTTTTCTAGCGATTTTTTCTGCGTAGACGCATTCGGTTGAAAACTTGTCCACAAGGGTAATTAGAACTCATGAACATGGATATCACATCCGCTTACAGAAAAAAAATCGTCTGCGCCCGCGTCACAGCGAGGCGCCAGCAGCACTGCAAATTTGTCACTGAGGCAGTTCGACCTCCTGAACACGAACATTGCTTGCTTCAACATTGTTTGTGTTCAGTTGTTTGACACGAAGTCGCTTGAGGCCCATATTACAGGCATTTGCACATATTCTTGTTTTGACCGCGGGCGCGTGTAGCGGAATTCTGGCTGTTTCAGGCACCCAATCGCGGTTGGGGATTTTAAAGTTCGAGTTCTGTACGCACCCCGTCTTTTTGGAAGTTGGGGCGACCCCCCCCCCCAACCGTCTGTCGCTTCCTCACGCGAAATGTCGTTTGAAGCGTGGGGGGGGGGAGGGGGAGGCCAATAGCACATTTTCAGTTTTTCTTAGGGGGGGGGGCATCTGTAGTACCATGAAACTGGGGAAATCAACAGCATGCACGAGAGTACACCACCTCTCGCCTACAACGCCAAAACGTAAATACGACCCCCCTCCCAAAAATGACCAAGTACGACCCCCCCCTTTTACAACGTCCATGAAGCGAGAAAAATCAACTATCAAAATAAATTTTTCCCAACCCAAATACGACCCCCCTCTCTCCTGGCGGCCAAATACGACCCCCTTCCTCCTATGGGGATTCCCCAACAATGATGTGCCCTGGGCTGTCTGTGCAAGTGACAGTTGGGAAACAACATGACCAGATGAGACAGTGCACTTTCTCGTTGCCTGCGATAGTGATGCTTCTCTCTGCTAGCACTATCTCGGGAGAAGGGTGCAGACAAGTGTAGCAGGCTACGCTGTCGCGTATATTCCATTTCCTCCGCCATCAGCTCCATTGGCACCCGATGCAGACGTGATGTTTGGTTAAACTACCCCTGGGGGCAAGTTTCAGCGAATTTCGTGATTTATTGTATTTCCGCATAGGCGCCAGGTGGCTCAAGCTAAGCGGACGTGATATTCGTGTTCAGATGGTCGAGTTGTCCTCTAAGGCAGCGTCGCGACACAAAGTGAAAAACGCCTGGCCAATGAAAACGTAACGCGGGTTCGCAACCATAGCGGATATCCTACCTTGCGCTTCGAATGTATTTGATTGACGGGAGGGGTCTAACAAGGCTGAACTGACGTCCCTGCCTTCCTGTTAACCGCGCGATGGTTAACAGTTCAGTGGCTTGCTGGCATTGATAACGCTAAGTTTCTGGAGTTCCGAGGCCGGCGACGTGTATTGGAGAACTCACCAAAGGTCTGCGAAACTCGTCCACATGCCTTAAATTTCGTAGGGTCTTATTTCACGCTCTTCCACACCTTTTTCCTACTTTTTTTTGATTAGTGCTTCATTGGCCACCTGTTCTAACAAATTTGACCCCTGAGACCTGCCAAAGTCCATCGCGGGCGCTGTCTTTAAAGACACATAGTACGCTCATACACATTGAGGGTGTATGAGACTATCAGCCCCCCAGATGTCGATGTGTCGTGGTCCCCCCGCCCAAACATGCCCAGGAATGGAGATACAGGGCCGTGAAACACGCTAATTCTTCCATGCTCCGCCCACTGCCTTTTTACGGCGCAGATTCCCGCCGTTCATAACATCCGTTGCAAGCGCGCCTGTCGCGTGCGGCTCCTTGGCACTTTGCCAAGTCCTTTAATTGCGCTCTCAAATAACAAGGAAAACGCAATTTCCTGATGCGGATAACATTGGAGGTGCTACAAAATAAGAGCAGAAGATGATGACGAGGGTCAGAACCTAAAAGCGACTGTGCCACTTCTGCAACATCCCTCGGAGGCCACGTATTTCCACGAAACATGAAAATAAAAACTAAAAACGGCATACTCGTTAGTTTAATACAAGCAACGCAGAATTTCCTGATGCGAATAAAATTTTAAGGTGTTGCTCATGCTTCAAAATCCATGTACAAGGAGATGAAGATGACACAGGCTAGAAATGAAGCACAACGATGTAAATGTAAACAAAACAAAAATGAAAAAATCAAGGAAAGGCAAATTAGATAAACTGGCCTGTAAATTTCGATCCGGCGCCAAAGCCATAGAAATACTTAGAACAAACGAGTGGGACGCTTGGGCTGTTTTTATTTTCATGTTTTGTGGGAATGCGCGGCCCTTGATGGATACTGCAGATGCAGCCGAGTTGCTCTTGAGTTCTGCCCCTTGTCATCATCTTCTGCTCTTATTTTGTAGCACCTCCAATGTTATCCGCATCAGGAAATTGCGTTTTCCTTGTATTTGAGAGCGCAATTAAAGGACTTGGCAAAGTGCCAAGGAGCCGCACGCGACAGGCGCGCTTGCAACGGATGTTATGAACGGCGGGAATCTGCGCCGTAAAAAGGCAGTGGGCGGAGCATGGAAGAATTAGCGTGTTTCACGGCCCTGTATCTCCATTCCCGGGCATGTTTGGGCGGGGGACCACGACACATCGACATCTGGGGGGCTGATTGTCTCATACACTCAATGTGTATGAGCGTACTATGTGAAGTATCTTTAAGGACGAACTTTCATCCGAATTTGTCCCCGCAGAAAAAGTTAGAAAACTGGCAGACCTCGGTAAATGGGGGCAGTGAAGGGTAAATAGTGCCAAGGTTACGTCACATAAGATGGCAGGGACAAGGATGACTCGATTTGAAATATTTTTGGGGTGTTTCTCTAGGCAGGAGCAAACCCTCCACCAGTGCTTAACCGTCAGGAGAAGCTGAAGCCATCCATCAGTGCCGCTAACCTGGAGATGTACTATGTTTGGAATCTACCTGAAATAACTGCGTAATTTCTGGGGATGAGCCAACCGCTCAATTGCTGCAGGACAGGAGCTGTGCAGCCGTTTGGACAACGTCACCATGGTTGGTGATTTGTTCATCTTGACTCAACCCTTCAAGTTTGCGAGGTTGGCGGACCTACTAAGATGGTGTCCGGGGTTCAAATAACGCTTGCGAACTTACAGTGTTGGCGGGCTATTGTCCCTGAGCTGCGAAAAAATTCGCCCCTCCCTGCCGCAACCCTAACCCTCCCCTTCTTTTTGATGTAGTTATCGGGAAAATTTGTGCTCATCTCCTTGACTATTTTCTTTGTTTTCGCTGTTCAGTTCATTGCCGATAGTAAAATGAAGTTCATCATCCAACCCCTTCGGGTCCCAGGTACACACGCTTGGACGAATTTCGAAAATATACCAGCGTTGAGAGCAATGTCCCATGTGAGAATCTGGCGTACATTCGATTTGACTTCTCCACTGGGACGCTATATGAGCGAAGAGTCATTTTTGCCCCCCTCCCCCAGTCCTCTTTCCCCACCCCCCTCCCCCACTGCAGGCATTCAAGTCCTGTGTGGTGTTGAAAGGATCCCGATTAAATGGTGTGTCTTAAAAAGAAGAGTGGCTCACCATTCCCAGTCATTTTACCAGTTTAACTTTAGAGAGAAAGCGACAAGCTCATCCTCCATCCTTCAATTGGGAAAGCTTGTCCTTCACCCTTTAATAGCTAATTAGGCATATCTGACAGTATAAAAGGACAGAGTAATGACTTGCGGAAAGGTGACAATTATTTTGCTTTTCCCTCCAAGGTTAGTGTAGAAACAGAAGTGATTTAATCTGTCAACGGCTATTTACCGCTTTCTGAGATGTAGAGAAATGTGAAGATCCCTTTATTCCTTGGAACCTTCACCAATTACTGGACTACGCTCAGATGACGTTCTTTCGTTGGCGAGAACGTGGTTTTTGAAGAATGCGCTGTTCTGCTAGCTATTTATCAAAGGCCTTGAGACAGGAGACGTGGCAGGGACAATGTATTGTCCGTTTTGCCGTGTCGAATGCTGTCCGGCTCGGCTAGGATGCTCACGCGTCTCAATCATTCACAATCGTTCCCTGGAAGGAACAGAGCATTCGTAGATGAGAGGTGAGAAGAAGCATATAAATAAGTATGACGGGGTACAGTAGCGGAGTAGGAAAAGCCGAAGCTAGAGCTTGTAACAGTTTTGCCAAATTTTCTAAACTTCTCTAACTGCAAATGGAAAATTGTTTTCTCAAATCAAGTAGGCCGGGAAAAGCTGTTTTCAA